GGATAGACATTGACTTGTTTGACTTGCACATTTGGCTAGGAATAATCATTTATGCAGGTTTATTTAAAACACCATCAATTCGGGACCTTTGGAATAAGGATATAAAAATGCCAATACACCCCATTGCATCATATATGCAGATTAGAAAATTTGAAAAAATAAAAAACTTCCTACATATTTCAAACATAGAGGAGGCTCATCCATTTTGGTATTCTAAACTTGAACCATTAGCATCCCATATAAACACAATATCGCAATCCATTTTCACTCCATCATCTAATGTTTCTGTAGATGAAATGATTATAAAATTTTGTGGCAGAAGTGCACATACCTTTAGATTAAAAAATAAACCAACACCAGAAGGGTATAAAATCCTAGCTTTATGTGATGCAGGATACACTTTCTCTTTCATATTTACTTCTAGAACTGAAAAAGAAGGTGAAGTTCAATCAATTGGAAATCTTGGTAGAATAGGAAGTCAAGTTGCACATTTAGCTTCCAGATTACCATCACATAAAGCATTTAATATTTACATGGATAATTATTTCACAAGTATCCAGTTATTTAAATTTTTACGTGAAAAGGGGATTGGTGCATGTGGGACCGTTCGTACAAATTCTTCAAGATTCCCCTCTGTTCTTAGAATAAAAAATAAAAAGTTAGATTGGGACACACTCTCTGGTGTTGTTATTGATAATGAAGTATTGGCAATATTGTGGATAGATAATGGTCCTGTTACAATGCTATCCACAATACACAATATTGTTGGTGATGAAAATAAAATAAATAGAAACAGACGTCGCCCACGTCTAACAAGTACCAATGCAGCCAAAGTAAACAAAGTCTTCGGTAACAGCACAAGAAAGATATTGTCAATCCCCAAAATAATCAATGATTACAATCACCACATGGGTAGTGTGGACATTGCAGACCAGTTGAGGTGTTATTATTCAACGCAACAAAAAGTCAGAAGAACCTGGATGCCTATATTTTTCTGGTTGTTGGATATTGTAATCATCAATTCTTATTTAATATATAAAAAATGGTATAATAATGAAATGACTCATAAAGAATTCAGTTTAAAACTTTCATGGGAATTAATTGAAGAAGGATTAGATAAAAACAATGAAAGAGAAACCCGCGGACATACCATACTTGAATCATCTTCATCTTCATCCAGAGCTTCCTACATTAAGCAAAGATCAGAATTAATCACGGAAAGGTTAGTGATTGAAAATAATCATCTTCCAGAATATAGAGAAAATAGAATTGCGTGTGAATGGTGCAAATTTGAGACCCAAAGGGACGAAGGAAAATCTCATAAGTCTCAAAATCGTTCTTATATTTATTGTACAGCATGTAATGTTGCATTGTGTTGTTCTCAAGCTAGAAACTGCTATATAGATTACCACACAGAGACAGATTGCTAGTCTTGTTTTTTTAATTTTATTATTTTATTATTTATTTTGGTTACACAATACTTGAAAATCTATACGTAAGTTCTTTCTTTATATTTAAAAAAAAATCGTAGCCTAAATTAGCATCATTTTTCTAAATAAAGTTGTTAAATGGAACATGTATTATTACATATCTTACGGTTTTAGGCCTGGTTTCAAATGGTGAAATTTTTTACTAATCACAACTTACAAAAAACCAAAAATTAGTTTTTTTTTTATTTTAGTATCAATAAAACTTCTACAAAAAATTTTTTTTATTAAAAACGAATGTTTATACATAAATTTCATAACCTTTTCTATCGAAAAATCAAAAAAAATTGGTATTAGTTAGTGATTTTTTTTGTCTAGTGGGGTCTACAATTTTTTGAAAATTGCGTCCAGATTTGGACGCAATTTCTGTTCGTTTAAGGGATAAACTTCCCATGATAATTATTCTTCTTGTATCATTGCAATCCATTATTTGAGAATACACAAGATTAAAAAGCGTGAACCAGAGAGATCTTGGCCAAATTAAAAAGTAGCAAAAGCAATTAATCAATAAAAGCTCACTGCGCGTTCCCCGGTGAAATCTTGTTAATAGTTTCAATCAGTTTATATTGCACAATTGACTTTTTTTGAATATTGACATGTATTTGTTTTATTGTTATCTATAATAAAAGGTGAAATTAAAATAACATCATTATTGTCGTTTATTTCATCTACTCGGAATAAGTCATCATCATTCATATTATTATATATACATCAGAATCAAATTCTTCTTCTGAACTTCGTATTTTCAATTCGAGCAGTTTTGTAAAGTTGAAAATTGTTCTTCGTCTTTGCATCCAGCACCCTTTGCATGATGATTTAAGTAATCTTTACCCAGCATATATTAAACTTAATTGTTTTACCACAAAATGCAAACAATTTCCTTAGCATGAATAATATGGTAAAAAAGATCAAATTTAAAAGTACTTTTACCTAACATAGTGATAATCTACCCAATTTATTTGATAAAGCCAATTCACTTTCTAATCTTAATATATATATATTGCTCTGGCACTCGGAAAAAGTATCCTTTTTACAATAAAGTAATTTACACATTATCCTCTTTTTTAATGGTGTCAAAATAACCTTGGTTGATTTACAAGTTTATTTGCAAGATCAAATCGTTGCAGAACGTTTTATTTAGATTGATGATGAAGTATCAGTACAAGAACTAACTGACGAAGAAATAGTTAGAGCAGTGAAGCCAAATCCTGAAGTTGACAATTCTGATGAAGTGGATGAAGTGGAAACAGTATATAATTATCAGATAGTTTAGACAAATAATTTTACAATTAGTTTCCAAGAATTAAAAACAATTGATAGTTTAAAATCAAAAATTCATAGACAATTTTATTTTCTTTGTTATATATATATATATTGTGCATAATTTGTTAAAAAATTCATCTCGTTGTAAGGGACTTTTCAATTTATTTATAATAAGTTCGCTATAAAGAAATTTTTTCTTTATAATTATTGTGGTGTACCATGCCTACTACATTATCACTAGTACGTGTTCCAATTTTAAGAAATAATCTACAAAGTCATTTATTCAGGCTGATTGTTCTATATTAAAACTATTATGTGTGACGTAGGTCAATTGGAAAGGCTGTAATGATGGCTATATGTGCTCTTTTAGGATATGCGAAACACAGTAACGCCTAATTCATGTCGTCGCTAATAGCATAGTGACGATTTTGTGTGTGAAAATTAAAATTTATACGTGAAAAATTAAATTGGCCAATCAAAAGGGAATTTCAACCCGTGTTTATGTAAAAGAATCATCATATTAAAAACCATTTATGGGAAGCAATCATTAATAAAAAAAAATTATGTAAATAATATAATAATATTAATAATATTAAATATTGTTTGTTTACGTTCCATCCTAAAAAAGAAATAAATTATTTTCATATATATACAGTTATTATTCATTTTTTTTTCATTTTTTTTTTATGACCCATTAAATTATTATTATTAATTGGGCATAAATATATCCAACTCAAACGATTACAACAACCAGCTCAACCAACACAACAATGCATGCTGGTCAACCTCCCTCCTCCTTCAGCTCAAACAACACTTGTTCAACGGTATTCAACTCAACAATAATTACAACAAATATCAAAAAAACATACCGAATGGTATCAAATAGAGTTTACTGATTCTGTTGTCCTGCTGAGTAAAAAGATTAACTTGAAATCACAAAGTCCTGGAGACCAAGTGTCCCGTAGAGTATGTGAAAGGAAGATGCACGGGGTATGACGGGGACTCTGGGCCTGTTTGCCTTTCATCCGAGCCTCTTTGATTAGGTAAGTATTCGTCAATCAAAGAGAAGGGCTCGACCGAAATCTTGGCCACAGGAGTGTTTAAATACATGGTGGTTAAAGTGGATGCTGACTGACATGTATACTTCGAGTCGTTTGAGACCTGGTTTTCAAGATTTTCAGTCTTGCTGGCCAGGAGCCTCGCGGTGGTATCAGCGGACAATTTTAATAATTCTGACACCAAATGATAAAATATCAGAATTATACAATTAAAAATTTTTTTAAACACTGAAATTCACTTCCCTATTGACGGGAGTAATAGAGTGACCTTTTTTATTTTGAGCGTGTTTAAATTTTTCTGCATGGTTTTTGTTCTTAGAAAACACGAGCGATGCAATTTTTTGTTGTACCAGAATTAAAAAAAAAAAATAATGATGATGAAGGAATCATGGCTAATAGTAATACGCGTATATCTTTCAAGTAGTAGGCGGGTATGATTATTTATTGTATTGCGGGTTTGGTATATATTCTTAGAATACATGAATTAATTAATAAAAAATCTTTAATATTAATAATATTAAAGCAAAGGAAGTTGAAACAGTCGTCTTAGATGTTCTTGTATTTCAAAATGGTGAATTTTATTTTTTTGTTTTGTTTAAATTTTAAATTAACATATAACTTAAGATCATCATCATTTATGTATATATATGCAGATTATTCCCATTATATCATCTAATTCTACGAAACAGACATGGTTCTGATGGTTCTCTAGGCATTTTCTTAAAGTATCTCGGTTTGGAACTATAGTTTATTAAGAAAACAAATCCCATGGAAAACAACTCTATAAACAGGTTATAGCATAATTTCAACAAATAAATAGTATTCCATGTCGCAACCCAAAAAAGGGGACAAAGTGGTCGCAACCAGGTGTCATAATCATTTTTATACGATGCAAAGGTGATTGGAAACATCATCAAAAGTTACAGCCGGTATCCTTAAAATCACACGTTTTGCAATCATTTGCCAATCAATTTTCACGGACATATGATTTTTATGATTTTTTTGTACAAGTATCATAGTACAAAATTTAAACTAAGTAACAATGGCAGTCCTCGATATATTTATTTGCCCATAGAATTAATATCTTCTCCAAAAAGATTATTGTTCCAACGAACGCTATTTCCTACTGCATTTCTATTTATATCATAAGTATTCTCATCAAGATAATTATACTCGCTTAATCACCTTGACAATGGTCAACAATGCAAAAGCGTTTCCTGTCACAGCAAACCTTACTGTCCGCACAGCTCCTTCTTTGAGTGCTAAAAAAGTTCGTACTGTTCCTATCGGTTCACATGTTGATATAGTTTGCCAAACCACTGGTGACACTGTTCAGGGCATCAACATCTGGGATAAGTTGATTGATGGAAACTTTGTCTCCGATGTTTTCGTCAAAACTGGCACTTCTGGTTTTTCTCCGGACCTTCCACGTTGTAAAAACACTTCATCTTCCAATATTGGTTCCCCCAACAATGGCAAAATTAATAACGAGGGCCTTGAGCTTATTAAAGATTCGAGAAATTCGAAGAAAATTTTTACAATGATCCTGTGGTAAGTTTGTCCATTCTTGTTTTATTTACACTGACAACAATTGAATATACGATTAATAACTAATTAAATATAACATAAGGGTATCAAAACCATTGGTTATGGTCATGCTTGCCATGTCAACAATGTTGATGACATCAAACCACCCATAACTATTGCCCAAGGCGAAGCTTTACTTAGGAAAGATTTAGTTACGTTCGAAAAGGGTATTAGCTCACTCACCAATGTCAGTCTCACTTCCAATCAGTTCTCCGCTTTGGTTTCATTTGCCTTCAATCTTGGCTGTAATACCTATAAAAAATCTACATTACGCAAGAAAATTAATGAAAGTGACATTGAGGGCGCTTCCCTTGAGTTTGGAAAGTATATTTATGGTGGTGGAAAGATATTACCCGGTCTGGTGAGACGCCGTGAAGCTGAGAGAGCATTGTTCTGTAAGGATAATTAAAAGATATATGAAAAGTGAACTATTTACTATTATTTAAATAAATCTTGTAACAAACTTTTTATAAACCCTGCAACTAATTAAATTTTTTAAAAAATCTAAAATATTTAGTTTTTTATTTTTTTTTTTGTTTAATAAATGTATATTATTGAAATGTGAATATTTTACCTATAAAGGAAATACATTGCATTCTTTGATTTATCTTAATGTTTCATTCTCCATCCCAAATTTCCGAACCATTTGCTTATTTGGGTAAATTCTTAACCCTTGAAAACATGAAGAAGAGCGCACCTGGAAATAATCAAACCAAAAGGAATAATTAAAAGTGCATATCCCTCCCTTTTATTTTAAATGATATTACTGTACCAAAATTCACAAAAAATGTAGATTTCCCATAATCATTGAAATCCATCTTGGAAATCTACATTCCCGCCGGTTAAATGTATATACCATTTCGTACTAATGCGAACCTATTATCATTACATGAGGATGCTGCAACAATAATGCCATAAAGAAATTATCTGGTTTGATGTGGCGGTAGACATGTCGATCGCATGAAATGTCGTTGGACCCTGAATAAGATGATTAAAACTTCATTCATATAGTAATCGCATATAATTAGTCAAATTGATACAGATTTTTACTACGTGGGTTTGTTTATAAAATAATATCTTTTGAGGCGGTGAAATATCTGTCAAGTGATATAAATTCAGCTTGAAAACAATATAACCCTTATCATTTAATATGAGTAATATGATAACTTTGAGGAGTCAACCTCCAAATTAATGAAATAATAATGTGCATGTTATTTAACGTTAGTTTGAACACACGCCTCCAGAATAAATTATTACAAATAAATTAAAAAAAGGTTGGGATTTGGTAATTGAATTCACAGCTTTGTATAAATTCCCCCATTTTACATGACAAAAAATTATCACAAGTAAATCTTTTGTATGATTAACCTTTTTTTTTCAGCCAGTTTAGTTAACACTCTAATAGATAATTCCAAACAAACAAAATTAGTTTCAAAATAAAAAAAAAGAAATTGATGCAATATTGGCTCATATGATTTTGGTGTAGTTTACCATTATCACTTAATGATGTATGACGATTTTTTTGACTTTAGTCATTGACGTAAATAAAGTATTGACTAAAAGTAGTCTCTCACCAGGATTATGTTGACGTTTTGACTAAATTAAGAGCCCTTGACGTAAGTAAAACTACTCGACGTAATTAAAAGTACTTGACGTAAGTAAAAATGTTTGATACAAGTAAAAACACTTGATACAAGCAAGCAATAATGATAAAATAGGATTATCGAAAGTGTAAAAATGCGTGTCCCGAGGATAATAAAGAATTATTATATCATTCTGTGTATATTGCAATGGTGCAAGAAGAATAATTATGATGGGAAGTTTATAAATGTTATAATTTGAATAGAAATTTTACTTCATTAAACTACTTATTTTTTCCTCTTTTTTACAAATTAAAACCATTCTTTTATTATTACATTTCATAAAATGTAAATGTTTTTTCAAAATTTTAACTTTGAAGTTAGTTATAATAGTAATACGCAATAATATTAATAGTATGCTTGAGCTGTCTTTGGTGTCTGAGTTTGAAATAACATAGGTTGATCAATATTAGTACTTAGAACGACCTTTACATAACACATAAGACAGGTTTGGTACATATTTTTGTAAGTTTTAATTTTGTTATCACTTTTAAATCTTCAAAGAATTTCTTTTATTGTTGAATCATGATTGTTCTTTAAATAATGCAATTTTCGTTTTCAATTTACATCCTTATCAATATTGATATTAATATTGATATTAATCAAAATCAAAATGTTGTACGAAAAAATTGTTACACGTCATTCATTCAATTCACCGCTTTACACAGTTATTCTCATTTATTAAAATACCAAGTCGACTTTTATATTTTATATTTTATATAATGTCATATAATAAATTATTATTATCATTATCACTAGAAAGAAAGGAATTTGTACTTAAAATTTATAATGAAATGCATAGTAATACTAGTATTAATAATTCTGATAGAGAAAGTAGAAAAGATTATTTTTTTTCATTAGTTGAGAAAAACAAGGAGCTTTCTGAAAATGAAAAAGAATATTGTAAGGAAAGGTTTATTTATAATTTTGAATTAAATAGTGCAATAAATAAAGAAGGTAAACCAAAAGAATGTAACAAGTGTAAATTGACAAGATACTCTGATAGGTTCTGTGAAGGTTGTATTAGTTTACAATT